GCATTTGGTGGTCCCTATGTAGACTTGTCCACATCTGCATAGCATGCAGTAGACTCCTGCAAAGGTGAGAGGATCCATCTTGTACTTTGCTGATCATAGCATTTGTTGTATTTTCTTAGTGGGTCTGTAGATAGTTTGTAGGTTTTTATTTCTTCATCAGCTTCCCTATGTGGTCAGTGGTTCCCTTGATGTATGGTAAGAACATTTTACGTCTTGGTGGGTCTTTGTCTTGACTCTTGTGGCTTGTTCTCGGACTTGAAGTTCTTCTGATGTCTGTGACGGAGTCTCCATTGGCCTGTAGAGCCCAGTTTAGGTGCTTCAGCTCACCTTGGAGGAGGTGGGGTTCGCAGATTCTTTTTCACGGTCTGCCAGGGTTTTAATTGTGCTTCTTTTTTTAAATCGGGTGATGATTGGAGTTTTTATGTAGGTACCTATACATGTGTTTAGGTTTTCTTTAAACTGTGTGGCCCAACTATTGATTGGGTTTGCAGATGACTAGGACATCTAGAAACTGCATTTTCCCTTCAATTTCTTTTTCCATGGTGAATTGGATATTGAGATGGATGCTGTTGAGGTGGTCCAGGAACTTGTTTAGTTCTTCTTCCCCATGACTCCAAATTGTGAAGGTGTCATCCACACATTTTATTATTTGTTGTTTGATAAGGCATCAAATTGTTGCCCATTGTAAGGCTGCCCTGAGTCCCCTTCAGGGTGAGAAGGGCAGGGTAGAAATGCAATAAATAAATAAATATATGAAGTATACAGTGGGCTTTTGTGCTCCATGGAGAAATTTGTTGTGACTGGGCTGAGAGGGCTTCCTGTGGCTACTCATCTTTCTCATATAATTCATTGTCCCACTGGAAGTACCTTGTGGTGAGGCAATGGTGAAACAGGTCTATGATGTCTTCTGAGAAATTATGGTTGATTAGTGTGATTTTGTTTGGTACCGGGACCTTGGTAAATAGAGACACCACATCAAAGCTGATCAGTTTGCCATTGGTGTGGGCAAAATGTCAGGAGAGAATGCTTCTGGAACATGGCCATACAGCCCGGAAAATTTACAGCAACGAATTGATTGATTGATCAATTGATTTGGCTTATATCCCTACTTATCTGCATACAATCACTGGAATAAAGGGCACAGGATTCCCACAACAGTGGGGGAAAACTCAAGGGAAAAGAAGGCTATATTTTAACCTGGGAGAATAGCTCCCTAAGAATGTCTATGGCAGTCAATCGTGTTTTTAATAAATAAATAAATCAGCATAGAATACTAGCCTTACAGGTATATTAACACAGTACATACTCTGGGTTTGCAAAAAACGTTTCTGTGGTTTGAGTTAACTACAGGGATATTTTAAACAATACTTTTCAGCAAAATTTTATAGGAACTTGTTTTGATGTCACACCTCCACCCCCAACAATTGAAGGCATCTCTACGGTAGGGATTAAAATATACGATTTGTTCGTAAAATGTTTACGATAAAATGAGGCTGCAAATAAAAATGCACAGCTGCTTGCGACATTTCACAGATTTAATCCACTGGACAAATAGAAATCTATCTTTCTGCCAAGAGGCTGTGCCACTTTATGGAGGTGCAAATGTCAACATGGCCTCTTAAAGTTCTCTAGATGAAACTCTCCAAGAGATTAAGTGAGGAGTCAACATTAACAATAGTCAGTCAGTTTCTGTGAGTCCTCCTTGAAATTTCTTTCAAAAGAAAGAAAGAAGGAAGGAAGGAAATAAATTGGAGATTATTTGGAGAATAGTCTTCTTCCACGGGAGGGATGCAGATTCACTTCCCTCCATCAAAAATTATCTTCTGAATAGGGTTGGCAAGTGAGGACTGTGCCAGACACTAAGATTTAAGGGACAATATCTGAGATGTAGTAATGACCTCACAAGAAGTCACATGAAGTCATCACTGCATCTCAAGGAAGATGTTTCAAAAGGCAGGTCCTGATGATACCATTCAACGTGATCCATCATTAGCCATCATTCCTATTGAGATCAAAACACCAATACAAGCAGAATCTAGCCATGCACTTGCCTTGAGAACTTGAGAAAAGGAGAAGACGGGTCTGAGAAATGTTGACTTTGCCTTCCAATGTCACTCTTGTTCCATCCAAAGCTCAGAAGCAAGTGCCTTCAAATAACAAGTATTTTGTAATGAATCCCTTTCCCCAAATTTCAAAGGTACATAACTAAGTGACATTGTGAGTGTAATATAACAAGGCATAGCTTCAGTTGCTTTTCATAGTAAGTTTGTGAGTGACTTTTCTAGGTATGGGAGTATCCCAGGGTTCCGGTTTCTGCTCCGTTGGGAATGAGAATGAAGTGAATGGCCAGAGAGCGTGTTCTGCTCACAGGCCAAAGACTTGTAGAATTCTGAAGTATTGAAAACTAAATTGAGGTTTGGGTTTATGATGGGCCCTTGGTATCCACTGGAATTTCTTCCCAGGATCTTCATGGGTATCAAAATCGGTAGATGCTGAAGTTCCATAACACACAACGGCTTGGTAAAAGTGTCCCATATGGCAAAATCAAGCTTTACTTTTGGATTTTTTAAGCTGTGCATGGTTGAATATGTGGTTACAGAATGTGTAGCTAGAAAGGATTGACATCTATATCAAATAAATAGAATGAATCTCAAATGACTTTAATATTGGAGTGTTGTTGTGTGGTTTTCCAGGTTGCATGGCCAATGTATTCTAGCAACATTTCTTCCCTGATGTTTTGCCTGTGGCTAGCATCTTCAGAGGATCTTTGATATTGTTCTTTCATACTTTCATACTGTTCTTCAATAATTTGGTATTATTTTCAATATTTTGATATTGTTTTTCAATACTTTGATCTTCTACTTTGATACTTTGAGATAATGCCCCAACCTTTATTATCGATGGTCAGTAGTTTTTTACCTCCTCTATGGAATATATAACCATGCTGGAAGTTTCCAGCCCTCGGGGAGGGCCTTCTCTCTGGCACATTGCCATGCTCTCCCATCTGCCATATTGAAAGGCCGTTACCGGAAGACCCCCATACACCGAGAGACTGTACCCCTGTGACTAAGAACTCATAGAGACAACAGAACATGTGCTTTTTTACTGCCTGTTCTATAGAGATATTCGATCCCATCTTTATTACGCCATGGCTATACAAACACCCAGGATACTCTGGACAATTTTACATCTCCCTGCTGCTTTCAGATATTAACTCTGCTATAACTTATAATGTCACCAAGTTCTGCATAGCAGTGATTAAAATCCGGCAACTGATGACTAATAGCACAAGCTAGTACAAGTCAAGATTTCATACTAGCAGAAAATTGTGATTATAGTATTTTAATTATAGTGTGGATTTTGCTCCCTCCTCTGTTTGACTGGACTTCCCTTCCCTGTGCCACATGAGCACCCCAATTCCCTCCCTTCAGACTGCCTTCCTTTTAATTCCATAAATTGTGTTGGGTTTTGTCTTAGAGTCTTGTGTTAATTGTCTTGATGTCCTAGCAATGATGCACTTATTTCAAAGTTTGAAAGTTTTAAATCTCTCGACTCTAAGATCTGATGTCTTTGTGCGGGACTACGTCCCTCTTCTCTCAAGATGGTCATTGACTGTAATAAAGTGAACTTGAACTTGAACATGATACTTTAAAATTGTTCTTTGATACTTTGATATCATTCTTCTGGACTTTGATGTCATCCTTCAATAGTTTGATATCGTTCTTCGATACTTTGATATTGTGATTCGATACTTTGATATTGTCTTCAATATTTTGATATCGTTCTTTGGTACTTTGATATCATTCTTTGGTGCTTTGATATCATTCTTCAGTATTTTGATATCATTCTTCGGCGCTCTGATATCATGCTTCGATACTTTGATATTGTGCGTTGATACTTGGATATCGTTCTTTGGTGCTTTGATATTGTTCTTCAGTACTTTGATATCGTCCTTTGATACTTTGATATCATTCTTTGATACTTTGATATCGTTCTTTGATACTTTGATATGTTTCTTTGATACTTTGATATTGTTCTTTGATACTTTGATATCATTCTTTGACACTTTGTTATTGTTAATGCGATTGGTGGGGATGAGAGACAGGGCCTTCTCAGTGGTGACTCCTCAGCTACGGAACTCCCTCCCCAAGGAAATTAGATCAGCCCCCTCCCTCCTGGCTTTCAGAAGGAAGGTGAAAACTTGGCTATGGGACCAAGCCTTTAGGCAATAAGCAGTACAAGGAATGATCAGGGATTATGTGATATAGATATGATATTTGGAACAGCCTGGACTACGATTGTTATATTGTGTGATTTTAATGGTTATATTTATGCTTTTAATTCCATATTTTAATGTTAAATGATGTTGTGTTTTATTATTATTTGATAATTGTATGTTATTATCGTTATGTTAGGTTTCTGTATGTTAGTCATTAAATTTTGCCATAATTATGTTGGAAACTGGAGCCCCCGGTGGCGCGGTGGATTAAAGCACTGAGCAGCTGAACTTGTTGACCAAAAGGTTGGCGGTTTGAATCCAGGGAGCGGCGTGAGCTCCCACTGTCAGCCCCAACTTCTGCCAACCTAGCAGTTCGAAAACATGCAAATGTGAGTAGATAAATAGGTACCGCTCCGGCGGGAAAGCAATGGCGCTCCATGCAGTCATGCCGGCCACATGACCTTGGAGGTGTCTACGGACAACGCCAGCTCTTCGGCTTAGAAATGGAGATGAGCACCAACCCCTAGAGTTGGACACGACTGGACTTAATGTCAGGGGAAAACTTTTATTTTTATTATGTTGGAAACTGCTTTGAGTCCCCCACTGGGGTGAGAAAAGCAGTATACAAGTGAAGTAAATTAATAAAACAAATAAATAATCCTTTGATACTTTAATATTGCTCTTACAATGCTAACTAGCTGTGTTGTTCGGGACTGCAATGATCGATGGCTGACTGAGTTCCAGCCCCATTTACTAAGATTTTGTCTCTTCTGCCTTCCAGAGTGACCTTGGAAGATGTCGAGCCAGAGCAACGGTGACACCAAACCCCCATGTTTACCCCGGAACGGGCTGGTGAAGCTCCCTGCCCAGGCCAATGGGCTTGGCTCTGCCAGCATCACCAAAGGGACCCCCGCCATGAAGAACCGCCTGTGCCAGCCCTCCTCTGTGCCTGCTGCCATCATGGGCCCAGCCTTAGCCAACCATGCCGAGCTGCCCCTCCCTGGCCTGGCCTCACCCTTGCCCTTGTCCTTGTCCACCCTGGCTGGGGTGCCGTCCCCATCCAGTGCTACCTTGGTGGGGCTGGGCTCCACCGTCGAGGTGCCCCCAGCCAATGGAGACATGCCCCTCTCCTCTTTTGAGGCTGAGAGGCCTCTGGCAGTGGATGAGAAGATCCTCAACCGCCTCTTTGTGTACTTTTCAGCCTGTGAGAAGTGTGTACTGGCCCAGGTGTGCAAGGCATGGCGGAGGGTCTTGTACCAGCCCAAGTTCTGGGTGGGCCTGACGCCAGTCCTGCACACCAAAGAGCTCTACAACCTTCTGCCCAGTGGTGACAAGGAGTTTGTCAATCTCCAGGGTTTCGCCATCCGGGGTTTTGATGGCTTCTGCCTGGTGGGGGTCTCAGACTTGGACATTTGCGAGTTCATCGATAACTATCCCCTGTCCAAAAAAGGGGTGAAGTCCATGAGCCTTAAAAGATCAACCATCACAGATGCGGGCCTCGAGGTAGGTCTCTTCCACCAAGGTGGATGGCGTTGTTGTTGTTGTTGTTGTTGTTGTTATATTTACATCCTGCTTTTCTCTCCAAGGCAACTCAAAGCAGATATATGTCTATTATTATCCTACTTTTCTCTCCACAGAGAGACTCAAAGCAGCTATGTATCTATTATTATTATTATTATTATTATTATTATTATTATTATGTTTATTATGTTTATTATGTTTATTATTATGTTTATTTATTCACTGCTTTTTCTCTCCCAACAAGAAGACTCAAAGTAGCTGACATGAAAAGCAGGTTTTTCAGTACAGTTTAAAATCTACAAATATAGAAACATTGAAACAGAATTAAATATCAATGGTATTTTTAAAAAATCAGTTAAAATACATAAAAACATATTCAAAGCTAAAAAAATCATAGCACTCCGTGATTTGGTTGACATACTAAACATCATGTATGTGCTTGTTTATAATTCCAGGACATCCCATGGTCCTGATTTGGCGGCACAGAAAGCTCTTTCTTCCCACTTTTCAGCAGTCTTGAAAACATCCCAGTTTCTCTTTCTTCCTCCCACTCCCCCCCACTCTTGTCCCAAACTTCCTTTAATGATGTCCAAGTGTCCTCTTGGGGGGAGAGGAAGAGAGGCGAAATCGTCTCCTTCCTAGGAAACACAGGCAAGGACAGACCGCTGCCATCTCTTCCAGGCATTTCATCCTCCCTCATGAATGTTTTTTGTCACTTTGACCATGCTTTTGGGGCACTTTAGTACAAAGCTGGAGGGCCTTAAGATGTGCGTGTGTTCCCGTTGCAGGTGATGCTGGAGCAGATGCAAGGAGTCATGCGGCTGGAGCTGTCCGGCTGCAACGACTTCACCGAGGCAGGCCTCTGGTCGAGCCTGAATGCCCGCATCACCTCCCTGAGCGTCAGCGACTGCATCAATGTGGCTGACGACGCCATCGCCGCCATTTCCCAGCTGCTCCCCAACCTGACCGAGCTAAACCTGCAGGCCTACCACGTGACAGACACGGCCCTAGCGTACTTCACGGCCAAGCAGGGCTATACTACCCACACCCTCCGCCTCAATTCCTGCTGGGAGATCACCAACCACGGGGTGGTCAACATGGTCCACAGCCTGCCCAACCTGAGCACCCTCAGCCTCTCAGGCTGCTCCAAAGTCACTGACGATGGGGTGGAGCTGGTGGCTGAGAACCTCCGCAAGCTCCGCAGCCTGGACCTCTCCTGGTGCCCGCGCATCACTGACATGGCCCTTGAGTACATCGCGTGTGACCTCCACAAGCTGGAGGAGCTGGTGCTGGACAGGTAGGTCAGAGCCGGAGACACCCAGCCATTCATGGCAGAACAGGGTTGGCAGCCCAAGGCAGCATGTGGAAGGAGAGAAAGGCTCCAGCATGCTTTTGATGCCAAACTCAGAGGCTGCTTTGCTTAGGTAGAAACCACAGAGGCAGACCGTCCAATCCAGTGGGTTTTTTTTTTGTATTGGTTAAAATACCCGTATTTTCTCAAGTCTAATATACCATTGAATCTAATGCACACCTCAGTTTTCAAAACCCTAAAACCCAAAAAAGTATTTGCCATGTTACATGAATCTAATGCGCACCTTAATTTTGGGAAGATCATTTAGTCAAAAGAAGTGAGTATTAGAATCAAGTAAGTATGGTACTTCTTATTTTTTCCAGATAATTTTATTGAACTTTTATTTGGGGGGCAGGGGGAAAGTGAAGGAAAAAGAAAAAAATGGGATAGTAGATTTGGTATTAGTTTGTTGCATCTTTATCAAAAATTTAATATGACGCAATAAGAAAAGGGCGAGAATTGTTGGAGTATTTACAAATTTATAATTGTTACAACTGAGTATCCATCTCTATTTCTTTAACATACATTTTGTACAATATTGAAGATTCTAACCATTTTAATTCTAAGTCCTTCTCCTTCCATCTCTGGCATCTGGAGGCAATGTTCACTCTGGCCTTGTTACATTTTTCCATGTCAAAGAGCCTGTTGTCCATAGACTTCTCTGATTGTGTTGCCAGCATGTCTGCATGTCTGCATGGGGCACCCTTTTACCTCCCCAACGAGGTGGTACCTATTGTTCTACTCGCATTGCATGCTTTTGAACTGCTAGGTTGGCAGAAGCTAGGGCTGACAGTCAGGAGCTTACCTAGACTCGTGGCTTTGAACTGCTAACCCTCCAGTCAGCAGATTTCCTGCAGCTAATGACTCAGAGTGACTCAGAGTGAGTTGTTGCTGCTTCCTGTTTACTCTATAAAAGCCGGTGTCACGTGCGCCTAGTGGCGCGCGCAAACTCACACACTCACTAACCTACACTTTTCAGCCCGCATACAGACAACAACATAAAACACACACCAAGAGGAGGTCATTAGCAGCCTTCAGATGGAACAAACACAAAATCTTCCTGTCCCATGCACAAGCTGTGGCATGTTCAGCTTTTTCACGCAACAATTACTCAATTACATCTGCCCCAAGTGTAAACAGATCACTCACATGGAACAGGATCCAACAACTTGAGGACCGTATTAAGACCCTTAAGGACATTCAGGAACTTGAGCTGTTCTTAGACACCACACACCACAGTGTCCTAGACATGCAGCCCATAGCACACCAACATTATGGGGAGGCTCAAGAAGAGATCACCTCAGATGTAGACAACCCTCAAGCTTGGAGGCATGTCACCCTTAGAAAGAAACATAAGACCCGAAAGACTCCTCAGAATACCTCTGCCCAGCTGCAGTTACACAATAGATTCCAAATTCTCACACAACTAACACTTGACCAAGAAACACAACATATTGGGGAATGGCTTATATACTGATCAGTGGCTCGTCCTTGATCAGTGTGCAGGGGATAGCCCTGACTGGGACAACACTTCACAACATTCACACTTACACAATCATGCAGGTGTACCATCCCCAGCCATAGACCAGGTGCAACAGGAACACATACAGGAGAACGATAGGCTCTTGGACGAATCTCAATGGATTGTCCTTGACGAATGCACCAGGGATGTAGAGGAGGAGAACAACACTTTACACCTACACAGTTCACACCAACAGGATCACTTTTCTGGGGACCTACACACTACATTGCACAAAAGGGACCCTGTCAATCCTGAAAGTAAACAGGTCTTGGTAGTAGGCGACTCCCTACTTAGAGGAACGGAAGCCGTCATTTCCAGACCAGATGGGATGGCTCGAGAAATATGCTGCCTACCGGGGGCAAAAATACACCATATCACTCAGAGGCTCACCAGGCTCCTCAAGCCCCATCACTGTCCTCCCCTCATTTTGATTCATGTAGGAACCAATGATACTGCTAGGCATACTTTTCAAAAGATCATAAATGATTTTCAAGCTCTCAGAACAAAGCTAAAACAATGTAATGTACAGGTGGTCTTTTCATCCCTCCTCCCAGTTGTAAGATACGGTCCTACAAGGGCCAGAAAAATAGTACAGGTCAATGACTGGCTTAGAAAATGGTGTCAGGAGGAACGCTTTGGCTTCCTCGACCATGGCCTCCTTTTCCAGGAGGATGGCAAGGATGGGGTGCATCTCACACAAGTAGAAAACACACCTTTTTGCTCACCGACTCGCAAATCTCATTAGGCGCACTTTAAACTAGGTCCACCGGGGGAGGGGGACAACAGCCTTGCGAACACTACTTTACTCATATGTCAGGGAACCGCCAGAAGGCTAAACAGAGGGCTGCACAAACACGAGGACCAAGTACCAAAAGCACAATAATCCCAATTAAACAGCTCAGGGGAAGATCTCAGGGGCTCACATGACTTTACACTAATGCACAGAGCATGGGAAATAAACAAGACGAACTCCAACTTTTAGCACAACACCACAAATATGATATCATAGGCATCACTGAAACCTGGTGGGATGACTCCTATCGCTGGAATGTAGACATCGAGGGCTATAACCTCTTTCACAGAAACCGAACAAAGGGGAGAGGAGGCAGAGTAGCCTTATATGTCAAAAACTCTTATGCTGCAGAAGAGATGCAAGACAGCAATCTGGGAAACCAGCTTGAAATCATCTGGATAAGAATCAAGGGAACTGGGACTCAAAAAGATGTCGTTGTAGGCGTCTACTACAGACCCCCAAGCCAGGAGGAAGAACTTGATGAAGTCTTCTGCCAACAGTTGACAAAACAGGCACAGAGAAGAGATGTAGTAGTCATGGGCGATTTCAACTATCCCGATATTTGCTGGAAAACAAACTCGGCCAAGAGTACAAGGTCCAACAAATTCCTTGCTTACCTTGCAGACAATTTCATGGTCCAGAAGGTAGAAGAGGCAACAAGGGGGTTGGCTACTCTTGATCTCATCCTAACAAATGTGGAGGACCTGATCGATGCGGTTGAAGTGGTCGGATCCTTAGGGGCAAGTGACCATGTGCTCCTGCAATTTGAGGTACAAAGGAAGGCCGAAACTAAGACAAGTCAAACCCGCATTTTGGACTTTAGGAGAGCTGATTTCCAAAAAATGAAGGAAACGCTGAGCAGCATTCCATGGACACAGATACTAAAAGACAAGGGAGTTACGGATGGATGGGAATTTCTCAAGAGTGAAATACTCAAGGCACAATTGCAAACTGTGCCAACAAAGAGAAAAAATAGGACAAGTGCAAAGAAGCCAGAATGGATGTCCAAAGAACTTCTAACTGTGCTAAAACACAAAAGAGACATGCACAAGAAGTGGAAAAAGGGAGAAATCACCAAAGAAGAATTCAAACAAATAGCCAACACCTGTAGGGAAAAGGTCCGCAAGGCTAAAGCACAAAACGAGCTCAACCTCAGCAAGATGGAGTGGATGAGGGATTAGAGGACATCCAACCCCAAATTGGGAAACAAGTCGTCCAGGAATACCTGGCCGTTCTAAATGAGTTCAGGTCCCCAGGGCCAGATCAACTACACCCAAGAGTACTGAAGGAACTAGCGGAAGTCATTTCGGAACCATTGGCAATCATCTTTGAGAGTTCTTGGAGAACAGGAGAAGTTCCAGCAGACTGGAGGAGAGCCAATGTGGTCCCAATCTTCAAGAAGGGAAAAAAGGATGACCCAAACAATTACCGTCCGGTCAGCCTCATGTCGATACCAGGCAAGATTCTGGAAAAGATTGTTAAGGAAGTGGTCTGCAAACACTTAGAAACAAATGCGGTCATCGCTAATAGTCAACATGGATTTATCAAAAACAAGTCATGCCAGACTAATCTGATCTCTTTTTTCGATAGAGTTACAAGCTGGGTAGATGCGGGGAATGCCGTGGATGTAGCGTACCTGGAGTTCAGTAAGGCCTTCGACAAGGTCCCCCATGACCTTCTGGCAAGGAAACTAGTCCAATGTGGGCTAGGCAAAACTACGGTGAGGTGGATCTGTAATTGGTTAAATGGACGAACCCAGAGGGTGCTCACCAATGCTTCCTCTTCTTCATCCTGGAAAGAAGTGACAAGTGGAGTGCCGCAGGGTTCCGTCCTGGGCCCGGTCCTGTTCAACATCTTTATTAATGACTTAGATGAAGGGTAGAAGGCAGGATCATCAAGTTTGCAGACGACACCCAATTGGGAGGGAGAGCCAAGACTCCAGAAGACAGGAGCAGAACTCAAAGGGAACTTCCCAGATTGGAGAGATGATGGGCCAAAACTAACACAATGAAGTTCAACAGGGAGAAATGCAAGAGACTCCACTTTGGCAGGAAAAAGAAATGCAAAGATACAGAATGGGGGACAATGCCTGGCTCGAGAGCAGTACGTGTGAAAAAGATCTTGGAGTCCTCGTGGACAACAAGTTAAACATGAGCCAACAATGTGATGTGGCGGCAAAAAAAGCCACTGGGATTTTGGCCTGCATCAATAGGAGCATAGTGTCTAGATCTAGGGAAGTCATGCTACCCCTCTATTCTGCTTTGGTTAGACCACACCTGGAATATTGTGTCCAATTCTGGGCACCACAATTCAAAGGAGATATTGACAAGCTGGAATGTGTCCAGAGGAGGGCAACTAAAATGATCAAGGGTCTGGAGAACAAGCCCTATGAGCGGCTTAAGGAGCTGGGCATGTTTAGCCTGAAGAAGAGAAGGCTGAGAGGAGATATGATAGCCATGTATAAATATGTGAGAGGAAGCCACAGGGAGGAGGGAGCAAGCTTGTTTTCTGCTTCTTTGGAGACTAGGACGCGGAACAATGGCTTCAAACTACAAGAAAGGAAACTCCATCTGAACATGAGGAAGAACTTCCTGACTGTGAGCGTTCAGCAGTGGAACTCTCTGCCCCAGA